GGAACCGACTCAACGGCACTTCACAACAACAACAACAAACTGTGAGAGAATAACTTTCTATTTGTCTAAGCCATCCCCTTGTGGTATTTGTGTTATAGCAGCACTAGATAATTAAGACCCTTTTGGGAGTAGAATTGCCATCAACTTGGCTTGATCAGGATTCGCAGTCATTTAGAAGGTAAGATGTAGTTATCAATTTTCTGAAAATTTATGTTCAAATTCCCGAGAAACCACCAAACTGTTTTCTAAGGATTTTAAAAATATATATCGATGGCCTGAGAAATTAGAAGATTGCATGTTAGGAAATCAAATCCTAGACTTGAATCAAGTGAGAAAGTAAGCTTAGATGGCAAAGGCTTCAGCAAAGGAAATCACAAACAAAACTTGGTATATAAGGGAACAAAGAATGTTTGCCTGACTGCAATAGAGTGAGAAAGTAGAGACAGGCAGGATGAGGTCAGAAAGGTAGCAGGAATTAATGTATTGTGGGTCTTGAAGGCGTAGAAAAGACTTTGCTATTTATGCTGAGTGTGGAAAATACTTTGTATGGATTTATATATTAAAAGGTTCTCTCTGACTGCATTACCAAGAACAGGATTCAGGATTTAGAAATCTTAGATTAGGCTCATAGAGGATGGACTAATAATAATGTCAATTGTTTTTCTAAGGAATTAGAGTATAATAGAATGGTAAAGACAAATTCTTGAGATACTGTGGAGGTAGAGTTACTTGGAAACTGTGTATGGATGGCAGCATGATTGGAAATAGTGAGGAAGTAATGAGGAAAGTGGAAGATAATAATGAGACACTGAAACTGGGAAATTAGAAGGTTGGTGGTGTCATTAATTGCAATAAAAAATTAACACAAATTTGAAAGGAAGACTTAGATGATGCATTTTGCTGTGTTGAGTGTATCTACATGTAGATGTTTAGCTGCTGTAGAACTTAGCTTTAGTCTTATGTTCAACTAGAAAAAAATAAGGAGGACATTTTTATTAATCTCAAGGAAAAAAGCAAGGAACTATACTTTTGGATGTGATAGCTAATGTGATCAAAATATTTAATAGCAGTAAAACAAAAGCCTAGGGAAGAGAAAGATTTGAAAAGTCCTTTAAGAATGCAGTGGTGATGGTGGTTATGTGTTATGGAGTTGGTTGCGACTCATAGCGACCCTGTACAGGGTTTCTGAGGCTGTAAATCTTTACAGGAGCAGAAAGCCTAATCTTTCACCACGGAACAGCTGGTAGTTTCGAACTGCTGAACTTGAGGTTCACAGCCTGATTCGTAACCACTACACTACTAGAGCTCCTTTTAAAAATGCAGTTGTTGTTGTTAAGTGCCATCAAGTCGATTCTGACCCATAGCGACCCTGTATAGGGTTTCTGAGGAGCAGCTGGTGAGCTTGAACCACCAACCTTGCAGTTCAAACGACTTTGCAGTCTGACACATTAGCCCAAAGCACCACACGAGGACTCCAAAAATGCAGTAGAGCATAGTATATAAACATGGTTCAGGAGTTGTACTGTTAAAGGTCAAATCTCTGTTCCACTCCTTTTTTGCTTTATGAAGTCAAGTTAGTGATTTGGAGCCTTATTTTCCTCATTTGAAAATGGAAAGAAAAAGATTTAGTTGATAAGTTTGTTGTGGAACAGAGATTCTTAATCTGGAGTCTGAGCTTTCAGGGTATATTTAGAGGAAGAATGGGGAAAAATGACAACTTTATTTACATTAATTTGTTGTTGTTATGTGCCATGGAGTCAGTGCCGGCTCATAGCGACCCTGCACAGGGTTTCCGAGGCTGTAAATCTTTACAGAAGCAGAAAGCCTCATCTTTCTCCCACAGAACAGCTGGTAGTTTCGAACTTCTGACCGTGAGATTAGCAGCCCGATTTGTAACCACTATGCTACCAGAGCTCTTTACTGACATTAATATCTTACAAAAATCTGCATTCACTTTATTTATATAGGGAGGTAACAAACCATTAGTACTAGAAATACTTGTGGCTTATTTTCTATAGAAATCATGCTATTGGTGGTAGAGTCCATTGAGTTGATTTCAACTCATAGTGACCCCAGGAGACAAACTGGAGCTCTACTAGGGTTTTCTACACTGTGTTCTTTATTGGAGCAAATTTCCAGGTCTTTTCTCCAGTTAAGTTGCTGGGTGGATTCAAATCACTAACCTTTTGGCTAGCATTTGCATGCTTTGTAATGATTGTGCCACACAATATATTCTTATCACAGTACAGTTGTTACAGACTTCTTGAAATACTATTTATAATCCCTATTTCTTTAAAATTACCGTACTTACTAGAATTGATGTTAGTTGTGCTGCTAGATGCAAATGATGCCAGAATTTTTCTAGAGCCTTTATGCCACATAGCTGGCTAACTAACCCTGCATTCCTGTGTTTCCTGATCACTCTTAATGATGTTACCGGGCACTGCCAGCTGCTGTAGTCAATATCAGAGACAGTGTGAGAATCGGTTCATTGACAGATCTGGAAGGCACTGAGACTCCGTTTCTGAAAGATTGCCTCATCTTCCCGAATACGGTCTGAACTCTTTACCCACCTAGGTATCAATGTATCTGCAGGTTTGCATTCTTCTCTCAGAGTTTTATAGCTCTATCATCTGGAGATACAGTTTATGTCTCGCTGAGTCATGGTGCCATACATCCTGTAATGTGGTTGTCCCAAACAACATTAATGACCTTTTCAGAAAACTTTGTGTTAAAAAGTTACATTCTTTTAGTTAAAGGTTGAAGTCATGGCCTTCCATTATTCCTCCTGGTTTGTCTTCTTGTCATAGGCTTAATTTAACAATACAGTCCTTACCTTATATGTTCCTGGAGCATAGGGGAAAGGTTAATCAGGACAGTAATGATTGGGGACAATGATAAAACACCTTTGAGCAGAGGAAAAAAGAAAAAAGAAAAAAAACAAAACAAAACCACAAAGCTTTTTAAAAACCCTTCTCTCAATCATACCATGAAGTTGATTGGTTCCGACATCTTTGTTTTCTAGTGTTCCCAAGTATAACTGTTCCTTGACCAATATGTGAAATATAAAGAATTGTTTTATGTTTTGATGTTGTTGTTGTTGTCAGGTGCCATCAAGTTGGTACTGACTCATATCGACCCTATGCACAACAGAAGGAAACACTGCCCGGTCCTGGGCCAACCTCACAATTGTTGCCACGTTTGAACCCATTGATGTTTTGATAATGGCATTTAAAAACATTGATTTCTTAAAAATCTAATTTGATATATTTAACTGTATGCACTTAGAAATACCATTCTAAGGAAGGTCCACAGGTTTCATCATATTACCAAAGGTGTTATGGCACAAATAAGGAAGAAACCATGAGTTAGAGGAATAAAAGTGTTCATAAACAGCACTAGATTTTGGCCAAGGTGAACTGTTCAACAACAGTCTGTTGTTATTATTCTTAAAATGTGGGTTTTCAAAAGGCAGGAAGTAAATTAAATCCCATTCATTTTTGCATTTAAAGTACCTAATACATTGCTCTGTTACTCAATGAATGCTGAATCAACTATGTGGTGTTCAGACAGGGGCAAAGGGGGTCCAGAAATCAGGATCATCAAACAAGAACCACTTAATGAATGAAATCTTATGACCAAAGTCTTGGAGAGTGTTAAAGTCTGCACCCCTCTTGCTTCTTGTTGCTGTTGTTACGGACCATGAGTTGGTACCAACTCAGAGCGACCCTATGCACAACAGAACGAAACTGCCTGGTCCTGGGCCAACCTCACAATCATTGCTTTGCTTGAGCCCATTGATGTTGCAATTGTGCCAATCCATCTAGTTGGGGGTCTTCCTCTTTATCTTCAACACTCCACTTTACTAAACATGATATCCTTCTCCAGTGACTGGTCTCTCCTGAAAATATGTCCGAAGTTTGAAAGTCTGGCTATCCAGGCTTCCAAGGAGCACCCTGGCTGTACTTCTTCCAACACAGATCTGTTGGTTCTTTTGGCAGCCCATGGTGTCCTTAACAGAAGCCATGGTTTTTGCAATCACCTTGTACGCATGACATAAGGATTGGAGTTAGACTCCTTAACAACTGAGATAAACAACCTTGCTTGTTGAAAATAAAGAGGAGTTAATATACTTACTGAAGATCAAAGCCTTTGGTAAGTTTGTGCCTTAATGTAAAGAAAACAAAATTCCTCAAAACTGGACCAATAAATAACACATGTTAAATGGAGAAAAGATTGGAAGTTGTCAGACTTCATTTTGCTTGGATGCACCATCAACATTCATGGAAGCAGCAGTCAAGAAATCAAATAACTTATTAGGCAAATTTGTTGGCCAAGACCTATTTAAAGTGTTCAAAAGCAAAGATGTCAGTTTGAGGACTAAGGTGCATCTGCTCTAAGTCATCGTATTTTCATCACCTCATAGGCATTTTAATGTTGGACAATGAATTAGCAAGACTTTAGAAAAATATATGCATTTCAACTATGGTGTTGGAGAAGAATATTGAAAGTACCAGAAAAACAAACAAGGCTTTCTTGCAGTAGAGCCAGAATGCACCTTAGAAGTGAGGATGGTCAGACTTTGCCTCTCATAGTTTGGTCATGTTATCAGGAGGGACTAGTCTCTAGATAAGGACATCATGCTTGAAAAAGTGGAGGGTCAATGAAAAAACAGGAACACCCCCTAACGAGATAGATCCACATAGCGTCAGCAACAATGGGCTCAAACATAACAATTTTGAGGATCGTGCAGGGCCAAGTAGTGTTTCATAACGTTGTACATAAGACTTAATAACTGTCCGTGTCAGTACCTGTAAATTTAAAAGTGGCTTTCATTTTGTATGAAGGTGCTGTGGGGTCCTGAAAGTTGTTTACTACCGATTAGTAAGTAAACACAAGTGAACCCATGCTTAGCTTGCTTATTGGGTAATCCGACATTAAACCCCTTCGGTTTAGGTGAGAGAGCAAGAGAACCTGCGCTCAGACCAAGCCAAGCATAGAGAAAAGATACAGGTTAGAGCAAAGCACGGTGCACAAGAGACTCGCTCCCTGGCCACGCCCACTTCCTGCTCCATCCCGGGCCTTTCCAGGACCCTCTGCCTGTGAACCGGATGCTCTGTCAGTCTCCTCCTCCGCGTCCTCGGCCGCCACCGGGTTCCTAGCGAAGCCACTGTTACCCCCTGTGGACCTAGTCAAGGTGTTCCGACGGAGGGCCTGGCAGGTGTGGGACGCCGGTAGGAGCTGGGCGCGCACGGTTACCGCGCGTGGAGGAGACACTGCCCTGCGGCGATGGGGGCCAGGGGCGCTCCTTCACGCCGGAGGCAAGCGGGACGGCGGCTGTGGTACTTGCCCACCGGGAGCTTTCCCTTCCTCCTCCTCCTGCTCCTCCTCTGCATCCAGCTCGGGGGAGGACAGAAGAAGAAGGAGGTAAATGAAGCCCCTGGCCTTTCCTTGTGTTCCTTGTGATTTGGGGCTGGAGGGCCCAGGCGGGGCACGTTGCTAGGCAGCGTGTCTACGTTGCTAGGTAGCCGGGCTGCGGAGCGTGGGCGGTGGCGCCTTGGGGGCGGGGGATGAGCTCGTGGGATGCTTTCGGATGTGTTTGTGCTCTGGCCCTCTGTGTGTGGTATTGTCCTTGCCTCCGATGTGAGGATGGCCCAGTGCCTACTTTAAAAAACACCGAAGCTTGGGTCTGTGCTTCAGATTGTACATTTCAGTTCTGTCCTAAATGAAGACTAGGTTTTGGATACCTCTTGTTACTGAAGAGGTGTGTTTGATGTGACAATGCTGATCTGAAGCATGTGTATATCTTCCGGAACTTTGTGCCTTATATTCAGTACTCAGCATAGTATGTTGTCCTTTTCAGAATGTGTTTTCAAGTTATTCTGTATTAATACATTTTAAAAGCTATATATGTGTTTTTCTTCACGTACCGCTCCGTGTATAATGTTGAGAAAGAGTTCATTATCTGTGTTTATGTAAATTCATTTGTGAAATTCAGATTACCTGATAGCAATGTTAGTCCACCGATACCTTTGGGCAAGACAAGGTTTGACGTGAGTGACCTAATTATTTATGGTTGTAAAATTATTTATAAATTTCAGTTACCCATAGATACTTGCTTGGATGGTTATCATGTAGCCTTAGAAAAAAGAAAAACAGAATTTATTATGGAAATGTGTTTAAATTGTAAGAATATTTTGTGTATTTCAGAAGTTACACATCCATACAAATCTTGAAATCTGAATCTGGGTTAAAATATTACTACTTTAAAAATAGTTGTTGAAGAGAGTGAAAAGGCAAAAATAGCATCACATACAAAATAATTCTGATTCTCTTACCTCTTCATCCACCTATAACAACTCATTGTTGGTATATAGTTTCCAAGGAGCCGTTTGTGAGTTTGAACCACCAACCTTGTGATTCAAATGACCTTGTCCAAGTCTTATCCCACAGTGCCACAACAATAACACCGATTAGTCCCCAGTCTGTTGTTGTTGTTAAGTGCCATCGAGTCAGTTCTGACCCATAACGACCCTGTATAGGGTTTCTGAGGCTGAAAATCTTTACAGGAGCAGAAATCCTTATCTTTCTCCCCTGGAACACCTGGTAGTTTCAAACTGTGATTTTGAGGTTAGCAGCCTGACTCGTTACACTACCAGAGCGCCTTCCCTAGTCTGACAGTCATTACAAAAAACTTTTTCCCAGTCTGTGGGCTCTCTTTACTGTTTTGGTGAGATATTTTGAAGCACGTGTCTGAGTTTTAAGGACGTCCCAGTTATCTAGTTCATTTTCTACTTTTTTTTTTTGTGGTTTTACTAATGTTTGACTGTGTATTTATGCCATGGGTTAGAGCACCTAAATTTATCCCTAGTATTTTATTGATTGATAATCTTTATAGTTCTAGGATTTACATTTAGGTCTTTAATTCATGTTGAGTTTGTTTGTGTATATGGTGTGAGATATGGGTCTTGTTACTTTCTTCTACAAATAGACTTCTAGTTTTGCCAGTATAGTTTGTTGAAGAGACTGTCTCATCCTCATTTAATGTGTTTTGACCCTTTGTCAAAGATCAACTAATAGTAGATGGATGAATTTACTTCTAGGCTCTTAATTCTGTTTTATTGATCTATGTATCTTTGATTGTACCAGTACCATGCTGTTTTGACCACTGTGGCTGTGTAGTAAAATTTGAGAATGGGGAGTGAAAGTCTCTTAACTTTATTTGTCGTCTAAGTGGTGCTCTGCTTATTATCCAAGGTCTCTTTCCTCTCCATATTATGCTAATGATCAGTTTTTCCATCTCTTTGAAGAATGATGTTGAAATCTGAATTGGGATTGCTTTGGATAGTGTTGACATTTTCGTAGTAAGACTTGCTATCCATGAGCATGATGTGTTATTCCATTTTTTTAAGTCTCTTTTGGTTTGTTTTAGTAGTGCTTTGTAGTTTTCTATGTATAGGTCTTTTGTTTCTTTGGTTTGATTTATTCTTAAGTATTTCATCTTTTAGGTGACTGTTGTAAATGGTGATGATGGTCATGGTGGTGTTGTGCCATGGAGTTGGTTTTGACTGATAGTGACCCTGTGTAGGATTTCCAAGGTTGTAAATATTTACAGGAGCAGAAAGCTTTATCTTTCTTGTGCTGAAATGTCTGTTAGTTCAGAACAGATGAACTTGACATTAGCATTGTTTTAGGAATTTCCTTTTCAGAACTGTCTTTATTAGTATTTAGGCATCTAACTGATTTGTGTATATTGATCTTGCCTGTGCCAGTTTGCTGAATTTTTCAATGCGTTCCAATAATTTTCTTGTTGATTATATATATAAAATCATACTCTCAGCAAATAGAAAGATGTGTACTTCTTCTCTGCCAATTTTGATGCCTTTAAATTCCCTTTCTTGTCTTATAGCTGTAAGACATCCAGTACAATATTGAATAGGAGTGTTTATAGAGGGCATCTTTGTCTGGTTCCTCTTTGCAGAGGGAGTGCTTTCAGTCTTTCTATTGAGAGTAATATTGGCTCTTGATTTGCACTTAGTGGTGGTGAGGATTTTCCCTTCTACTGTTACTTGGTTGAGTATTTTCATCAAGAATGGATGTAGGCTTTTGTCAAATGCCTTTTCTACATCAATTGATAGGATCCTGGTGTTCCTTTCCTTTTTTTAAAAAAATTTATTATGGATTACATTGCTTGATTTTCTAAAATTGAATCATTATTGCATCCTTGGTATGAATCCCAGTTTGTCTTGGTATATGTTTTTATAAGTTGTTGAATTCTCTTGGCTAGAATTTTGTTGAGAACTTTTGCATCTATTTTCATGAGGTAGTTTATTGTTGCTAGGTGCTATTGAGTTGGTACCGACTCATAGTGATCCTGTGTACAACAGAATGAAACACTGTCCAGTCTTGGACCTACCTCACAATTGTTGCCACACTTGAGCCCATTGATGCTGACACTTTGCCAGTCCGTCTCTCTGGGGATCTTCCTCTTTTTCTCTGACCCTCCAACTTAGCAAACATGACATCCTTCTCCAGTGACTGGTCCCTTCTGACAATATGTCCAAAGTATGAGAGATGAAGTTTGGCCATTCTGGCCTCCAGGGAGCATTCTGTCTGCACTTCTTCCAACACAGATCTGTTGGTTCTTTTGGCAGCCCATGGCACTTTCAATATTCTCCTCGAACACCATAACTCAAAAGCATCAATTCTCCTACGGTCTTTCTTATTCACTGTCCAGCTTTTGCATGTATATGAGGTTATTGAAAATATCATGGCTAGGGTCAGGCACCCCTTAGTACTCAAGCTGATACTTTTGCTTTTCAACACTTTTAAAAGGTTTTGTGCAGCAGATTTGCCTAATGCAATACATTGTCTGATATGACTGTTGCTTGCGTGAGCGTTGATGGTTGATCCAAGAAAAATGAAGTCTTTGACAACTTCAATCTTTTCTTCATTGATAAGAATGTTGTTTATTGGTCCAGTGGTGAGGATTTTTGTTTTCTTTATATGGAGATGCAATCCACACTGAAGGCTATGGTCTTTGATCTTCATCAGTAAGTATTTTTAAGTCCTCTTTACTTTGAGCAAGCAAGGTTGTATCATATGCATATCTCAGATTGTAAATGTCTTCATCCAACCCACGTTTTTCTTCAATAATCCAGCTCCTTGGATTATTTGCTCAGTATACAGGTTGAATAAGTGTGTTGAAAGAGTACAACCATGTTACATACCTTTCCTAATTTTAAACCATTCAGTGTTCCCATGTTCTGTTCAACTAACTGCCTCTTTGTCCATGTACTGATTCCTCATGAGCACAATTAAGTGTTCCAGAATACTCATACTTTGCAATGTTGTCTAGAGCTTGTTATGATCCACACAGTAAAGGCCTTTGCGTAGTCAGTAAAGCACAGGTAAACATGTTTCTGGTATTCTTTGCTTTTAGCCAAGATCCATTTGACATCAGCAATGATAATATCTTATGTGTTAAGGAGCTGCAATGGACTGTTATTGGCCATTTTGAATCTGACAACCACATGATATACTGTGCTGGAAATGGCGAATTGAAAAGGAATGGTGGTGTATTCATTGTCAGAAAGAACATATCAAGATCTGTCATGAGGTATAGCGCTGTCTGTGATAGGATAACATCCATGCACCTAGAGGGAAGCCCAGTTAATACCACTATTATTCAAATTTACTCACCAACCGCTGAAGCCAGTGAAGATGAAACAGAAGAATTCTACCAACTTCTTCAATCTGAAATTGATCAAACATACAATTAAGATATATTGATAATCCCTGGCGATTGGAATGCAAAGATAGGAAACAAAGAGGAAGGATCAGTAGTTGGAAAACATTGCCTTGGTGATAGAAATGATGCTGGAGATCGCATAATAGAATTCTGTAAAACCAATGATTTGTTCATTTCAAATTCCTTTTTTAAACAGCATTAAGAGATGACTATACACATGGAGCTCACCAGATGGAATACACAATAATCAAATTTACTGCATCTGTGGAAAGTGACTATATCGTCACCCAAACAAGGCCAGGGGCAGATTGTAGAACTAGACTATCAATTGTTCATATCAAATTCAGACTGAAGCTGAAGAAAATGAAACCAAATCCACAAAAGCCAAAATATGACTTG